AATTATCAAGGTGTCCAAATTATTGGTTCACTAAATATTTGCCGTATTTTAACGGCTGGAGGCACTGTAATATTTCATCTAAGGGAAAGGGACACGCCCTTTATAAGTAAAATATATCCTTACATAAACCACCACAAGTACCCGAGTTTCCAAATGGTCAGTCCACCCCTGATGAAGTGACTGTGTGAATTTTGACTAAATTCAGCTGCAATGCTTGCTCAGTCTGTTTATTTTATCAAAGTTCTAATTACTATGCTTAGAGAGCAAATACGCTTGACAGAGTGGCTGCACACAGTGGCTTCACACAGTGGCTGTCCTGAGGAATTTCTATTGCACAGAGCCAGGCAGATCGCTGTTGTCTGGGGATCCTCCTCTCTGCACATGTCAATTCAACTTCTCAGTGTCCTAAATCACAAGTGCTGAATCTGTTCTCCTCTGCAGCAATATTGAAGGGTGAGCTTCATGTAATGATGCTTTTGTAATAGCTGTCCTATGTACTTTATCATATTTTAAAATACTGCGGTCTAGGAAACTTGGCTTTCCAGTTACATGGCCAAGATAAATATTTTGACAATGTACCTGTTCACTTTGAGCAGAGATTTGTAAGTTTGTAGTTTAAATGATACCCTTTACATCCTGGTCACACCAATCCCGACTTTGAAATCATGCGACTTACAGTGAAGTCGCAGGACTTCAAAGTCAAATGACATGCCGATTTGAGGTACGATTTGTAAGACTTAATGCAATAAATAATTTGCGCTAGTGAATATATATATATATGTATAAATAATAAAAAAGTTCAAATCCAAAATTAGAATGCCAATACCACAAAAAAATGTGCAAAAAAAATTATTTTTTTTTTTTGTGCAACAAAATGTCTAAATGTGACAAAACACCACCAAAAAACCTTAGTAATATGATGGCAAGTCATCCATAGGTATATCTTCAGGAAACGAAATTCTGCAGAACACCGATCCTCATAGACCAAATAACAAGATGAAAGAAGCTTTTCAAATTATCGGAAATCCACTTCTCCAAAAGAAAAAACCACCTTCAATCGTATCCAAGGAGGAAGATGCCAGGCACTCGAGAAAAACAAAGAAACTTCATGGTGCAGTATTATAAAAGCCAATTCCTTTATTAGGTAGTCATTGCACTTACTCAAGAGGTGTCCCAGCCGACACCAGCATCAACAGCATAGCAGTAATCACATAAAACGAGCCTAGCTACTCAGCACATGCGCAGTAGCTCGTAGCCAAACGTAATGACGTCACATCAATCAAGTTCCGCCCTACGCGTTTCGTCATCGACGTCCTCACGGAGCGGATGGATGTGAGACGTCGCAACCTCATTAAATATGCACTTCACAGGAACCGAACAGCTGACATCAATGGGGAATCACGCAGGCAAGCCGCCCCATGGATGACAGGATTTTTTTTATTCATTATTTTTTATTCATATTTTATTTTAATTTATTTTATTTCATTCATTTATTTATTTTATTCATTATTATTGATTTTTCTTAATTTTCTCTTTATTTGCCCCCTTTTTTTATTGGTCTTGATGGCAAATATATTATATACATTGTATACCCTCTGTGGACACCTGTCATCCATAGGGCGGCTTGCCTGCGTGATTCCCCATTGATGTCAGCTGTTCGGTTCCTGTGAAGTGCATATTTAATGAGGTTGCGACGTCTCACATCCATCCGCTCCGTGAGGACGTCGATGACGAAACGCGTAGGGCGGAACTTGATTGATGTGACGTCATTACGTTTGGCTACGAGCTACTGCGCATGTGCTGAGTAGCTAGGCTCGTTTTATGTGATTACTGCTATGCTGTTGATGCTGGTGTCGGCTGGGACACCTCTTGAGTAAGTGCAATGACTACCTAATAAAGGAATTGGCTTTTATAATACTGCACCATGAAGTTTCTTTGTTTTTCTCGAGTGCCTGGCATCTTCCTCCTTGGATACGATTGAAGGTGGTTTTTTCTTTTGGAGAAGTGGATTTCCGATAATTTGAAAAGCTTCTTTCATCTTGTTATTTGGTCTATGAGGATCGGTGTTCTGCAGAATTTCGTTTCCTGAAGATATACCTATGGATGACTTGCCATCATATTACTAAGGTTTTTTGGTGGTGTTTTGTCACATTTAGACATTTTGTTGCACAAAAAAAAAAACAAAACATTTTTTTGCACATTTTTTTGTGGTATTGGCATTCTAATTTTGGACTTATTATTTGAACTTTTTTATTATTTATACATATATATATATTCACTAGCGCAAATTATTTATTGTATTAATTGTTACACTTTATTTATGGTGATTTTTTGCAGCTGGTGCACTATAAGTGAGTTATATAGTTTTTATTTTTTATTTTTCCTTAGGCGCTATTATTTATTTTCTTCACGATTTGTAAGACATCTGACACAGATGTCTCCTAGATTGTAAGCTCCAAGGAGCAGGGCCCTCAAACCCCTCATGTATTGTATTGTTACTGTACTGTCTCGTGTACTGTCTCCCATTATATTGTACAGCGCTGAGCAAACTGTTGGCACTATATAAATACTGTATAATAATAATAATGTCTATGCAAATCGCACCAAAAGTAGTACATGTACTACTGTAGAAATCAGTGCAGCTCCGACCAAGTCGGAACCGCATTGATATGGCTTCTCTAATTGCGGACAATAGAGTGAGACTTGACATGCGATTTGCAAATCACATGCCAATTCGCATCCAGTGTGACCGAGGACTTATTGTCTAACTTAAAAGACAGCTTCATCTTTGCTAAGTTTTTTCTGTTTATTAATTTTTTCTACCCCCTTGAGTACAACGGTGGGTAAAATTAATTACTGATGACTCCATCAAAGGTGAAATTGTCTTTTAAAGGCTAAGTTCACCTTTAGGAACATGCTACATATTGTAACATGTAACATGTTCCTAAACACCTGCTTCTCACTCCCAGAGCCCCCCCCCCCTCCCTGGTGACAGTGTGCAGGGGTTCCTCTCCCTGCATCTATGAATGAATAAAGTGCAAGTCCTGTACACCACTTCAGCAGATGAACTTGTAGCTCTCAATAGACTTAATGCAGTAATCAGCATATACTCCAGTTTTCTAACTGAATTCTTGTGCAGAGGTACAAGCAGAAAGCTAGAGGAGGTGTCTACAGGGGCCTGACATTGATTGCAGGTGCAATGCTTTACAGGGTCCTGTAAAAAATATATACAAAAATAAAAAAATAAATGTTTTTTTCCTGCAAAAATCATGTGCATTATTTTTTTTATATAAAGCTGAACCCAGCCTTTAATAGGTAAATTCAACTTTTCACAAAAAATGAAAAGGTGAATTAACTCCAAATATACTGGCTACTCCTCCAGACCCTACTGCACATAGTGTCCATGATGCTGGTATAGCCCCGGATTGAGTATCCATCAAAAAGCTTGCAATGATTTATGGTTTGAAGGAGACGTGCACACCAGAAATTTTCATTTAATTTTGTTTTGCATGCATTCGTTCATTTTAAGAATTTTGTTTCATCTTATTCATTATGTTGAACTGATTCGTTTTCGGAATTTGTTTTGTGTCTTCAGCATTCCTTATGTACTGTATATTCATTGGTCCATGTGGATTCGAAAAATATTGCAGTTTTTCTGGAAGATTGCTATATATTCAATATATTACCGCATTAGACGGATTCAAATAGGAATGATTCAATATAGTCCAACCCACCAAAAGAAATGGCATGAGCTGATTGGAAAATATTTACTGGCGTCATGTGCATCTGAATTTACAAATAGAATGAAATTCGGATCCATTCGTTATCCAAATCTGAATTATTGAACAAATTAAAAAATGTAATTATTTCCCCATGGGCCGAATTACTATTGCATCATGTGACATCATCGGAATGAAACAAATGCATTTATTAATTTTGTTATGACTCTATTTGGATTTGTTGACTTTCATTACTATGCCTATTCGGAGATTCATATAGATCTGAATCTCCAAACATAAAATCTTCGTCCAAAGAACGAATCATAACGGAACAAAATGCACATGTCTAATTTGAACATGCTGACCAGGGAGAAGCACTTTTTTTTGGGACACCTTACCAGACGAAGAAGCCACAGATGCTTCTCATTCAGCATTATGATGGATACTTACTCCAGGGGGCTGCGCATTGCAGTGTACAGACCATTACATTGGCAGCATGGGGAATCATGACTGGTATGAACAGTGGGGTCTGAAGGTGTGGCTAGGATATTTGGAGTTTGTTCACCTTCTTCTTATCCTTTAGTTGATCATATCCAGCTGCAAGTATTCTGGGAAGGTTGTCCACAAGGTATAGAAGTGTGTCTATGGGAATGTTTGACCATTCTTCCAGAAGCACGTTTGTGAGGTCAGGCACTGATGTTGGACAAAAAGGCCTGGTTTGCAGTCTCCACTCTAATTCATCCCAAAGGTGTTCTATCGGGTTGAGGTCAGGACTCTGTGTAAGCCAGTCAAGTTCCTCCACCCCAAACTCGCTCATCCATGTCTTTATGGACCTTGCTTTGTGCACTGGCGCACAGTCATGTTGGGACAGAAAGGGCCATCCCCAAACTGTTTGCACAAAGTTGGGAGCATGAAATTGTCCAAAATGTCCCGGTATGCTGACACCTTAAGAGTTCCCTTCACTGGAACTAAGGGGCCAAGCTCAACCCCTGAAAAACAGCCCCACATTATAATCACTCCTCCACCAAATTTTACACTTGGTACAATGCAGTCAGGCAAGTACCGTTCTCCTGGCAAACCCAGGAACGTTGATCGGATTGCCAGACAGAGAAGTTTGATCCGTCACTCCAGAGAACACGTCTCCACTGCTAGTCCAGTGGTGGCGTACTTTACACAACTGTATCTGATGCTTTGCATTGCACTTGGTGATGTAAGGCTTGGATACAGCTGCTCGGCCATGGAAACCCATTCCATGAAGCTCTCTGTGCACTGTTGTTGTGCTAATCTGAAGGTCGCATGAAGTTTGGAGGTCTTTAGCTATTGACTCTGCAGACAGTTGGTCACTTCTGCGCACTGTGTGCTTGAGCATGCACTGACCCCACTCTGTCATTATACGTGGCCTACCACTTCATGGCTGAGTTGCTGTTATTCCCAGTTGCTTTCACTTTGTTACAATACAACTAACAGTTGACCGTGGAATATTTAGTAGCAAGGAAATGCCACAGATGGACTTATTGCACAGGTGGTAACCTATCACGGTACCACGCTTGAATTCACTGAGCTCCTGAGTATGACCCATTCTTTCACAAATGTTTGTAGAAGCAGTCTGCATGCCTATGTGCTTGATTTTATACACCTGAGGCCATGGAGGTGATTGGAACACCTGAATCCAATGATTTGGAGGGGTGTCCCAATACTTTTGGTAATATAGTGTGTATATAGTATATAGTGTATAAGAGGATAAACTGCATTTATGCCTTTACTAACACTGAGTCTTTACAGGAATAGCCAAAAAATTGTGAATTTTACAGAGTTTTCTCACATATATTAGAATCTCTGATTATAGTTTACATTTTCCTTTACATTCTCAGAATAACAGAAGATAGTCTTGCAAGCAGTGGACAACCAGGAATAAGAGGTTCTAGCCTTGCTGAAGCCCAGCTGTGTTCAATAAGCAATGTAACAAAGCTAAATTGAATTCAAGCATCTGACAAACTTCTGCCACAAGCTGCAGCATTTAAAAGTATCATTTCTCACATCTGCTTTTATAATTGAATAAATGTTCAATTATTTAAAGCATTGAAAACTGAAATCCAGATTTAAACGGCAATGGTCGTTTCCAGCATCCAGGGAATTTAATCTGAGCAGCAGAGTGGCACACAAAGTGCACTGATTAAATAGAAGCCAATGAGTATGTGCTTTGCATCATTCAGTACCTACAAGAAACGCTGAGGATGGAACCTTTAAACGGTTGAAACTTTACATGTGAGGTCCATTAGCTGTAGGCTTAATGTATATATCTATATGAAATCAGGTTGCACTTCACTTGTCCTGAAAATTTGCAGCGCACGGATAGATGGGTTCTTTCCATTAAACCCATCAATAGTGAATAATCAATGGTTTTGCTGCATACTCTTAAATACTTAAGTGCATTTATTTTGATTTTTAAGTCTTTGACAGCATCTTGGAAATAAAATAAGTGAATTAAATTCTGTTATATGTTCACCTGAATTTGTTTCTTAAATCTAATAATATCTGGGCCAAATGGGTTGCAATATAGTACATTTGCAATTAAAGAGTCCAGTCACATTTGTACGCTGTGGCAATGTGCACCAAAACAAAGCATGGGAATGCACCTTGCATTGCAGCTCCATTTGTTGTACAGTAGTGCACAACACACAGCAGCACTCCACAACACCTATACCATGCTGCTATATACCATTGTATATATAAAATGGTCAGGCACCTTTTTTTTTCATCACTTGTGGTGTTTTGAAAGCAAAATCATAATGAATGGGCTGCCTTAAGGCAACACACATTAATGCATGCCATGGTTCATGGTAACACATGTGCATTAATTCACTGCAATATAATTTTTTATTGTAAAACGTCCCTAAAAGGAAACATTCTACAAACTAGAGGCCCCCACGACAAAACAAAAATACTGTAAATTAGGGTTGTCAACTGCTCAGGTTGGAACTTGGCAGACTGGCTTTGAAAATCAGTATCATTGTTGGGTGAGGTGTTGGGACATATATTTCTGGAGCACGTTTAAAAAACATACTTGGGCAGCAAGTATACCCACGAATGGCTGTGATCTGAGCTGGTATTGGACAGATCAGATCACAAGCATGATGTACAAAGGCAATTAGGGTTGATTTCAGCAGATCAAATGTAAATTTGGGGTCGGGAAGAGAATTTAAAGTACCACCAACCACCAATGATTGGATTGTCCATTTACAGGTGTGTGGGTCTTGGTGGGGTATGAAGGTACCTCTAACTAGCAATGATTGTGTGACTTTTTTTTTTAAGGTAGTGGGTTTTTTTTTTTTTAAGATAAAGAAAATACAGGTAAATATAAGCAAACCCAACTATTTGGTCCCTTTTCCTTTGTATAGCAAAAAATAAGCAGACAGTGGTTATTAAATACCCCCAAAAAAGATCTCTCTGTCTCAAAACATTTATATAAAATTACATTTGGATACAGTGTCGCATGACCAAGTGCTTGTCAGTCAAACTATCACAGCACTGAACAAATGTCCTGGTAATAAAAGGGCTGGTTATCAAGTGAGTAAAGGCCATCTCCAGCCAAAACTTTATTTTTCTTTGGATAGAGTGGATTTGTTAGAGACTCTTTGGATAGAGTGGATTTAACTGTCACTGTGTTACAAGATCTTATAAAGATGGGAAGTAATGGGAAAACATCAATTTGGACAGAGAAATGCAAGGAGATGGGTGAAAAACTCTTGCACTGTTTTTATTACTATCTGTCTCTGGAAGTTCTGCTGGCAACTATTCCTTTTATTTTTTGCCTTGGTACCACATGCACAGTGTCTGGTTGAAAAAGACAAATGTCCATCCAGGTCAACCAAAAAAAAGTTATAATTCTATACCCACAGTTGATCCAGAGGAAGGCAACCCCCCCCCCCCCCGCAAAGCATGATACAATTTGCTCCTGCAGGGGAAAAAAATTCCTTCCTGATCCCCCGAGAGGCAATCGGATATTCCCTGGATCAACCTTACCTATAAATGTTAGTATCCAGTTATATTCTGTGTATCTAAGAAAGAATCCAGGACTTTTTTAAAGCAATCCACTGAGCTGGCCAGAAACACTTCTTGAGGGAGTCTATTCCCCACTTTCACAGCTCTTACTGTGAAAAACCTTTCCGTAATTCGAGATTAAATCTCCAAATCTCCTCCAGACGTAAAGAGTGCCCGTTTGTCCTCTGTGATGACCTAAGGGTGAATAACTCTACACCAAGTTCACTATATGAACCACTGATGTATTTATACATGTTAGTTAAGGGGAGTCTCCCCAATAATGACACAACAACTTAAACCTGACAGTAATTTCAACCCTATCTCAATCTAAAATAATAATAAAAAAAAGCAAAGAAAAAAAAAACCTGGGCTCAAGTGGTGCTTTAATGTGGTTATATGCAAATTTAGCAATCCCATAGATATAATAGACAAACATTAGACAGAATGAGTGATCAGAGCTCAACTGAATCACAAGCTTCATATTTCAAGAATTTGGGTAGAACCCACAGTCTTTACCTAACTTTCTAACAACATTTTTTCCTGCACAGTTACTCTTTAAAACAATAGCAATGAATAAAAATAAGGTAAACAGACATATATAAACGTTAAAATCAGTGCAATATTATAACTCATTCATCAAACAAATATTCTAGTCATTTGTCTCCAACTGTCAATTATCTGTATTTGTGCCATATGTACAGCCATTTATCTTTTTCTTCTGTGCCACTACTTCTAGTCCTATTATTCTGGTTCTATCTGACCCTGGAGATCAAAATCAATAGAAAACTAACCATATCATATATAATTTTACTGATAAAGGAGCCTGTCTTCAGAAAAAAAATGACATTTAAGATTTGAGGCACCATTTGTTGCTTTTTTATTCTGATACAGTATACGTGTTTTGTTTAACTATGATGTCTTCCTCATGACAGGTAAAACTCACACCTGACCAGAAACTGTCACTTAAAAGGGCACAGTGTGCATCTGCTGTTTGACAACTTGAGAATGTACTTGTGATACGGGGTTGAATATTTTCAAGTTTAACCAAAACAGTAGGAATGAGCCGTTGAAAATTGCCTGGGTTCCTTTTCGCAGTAATCTGCCCTGCAGCCAGGCACACGATCATAGTCACTCTTTGACTCAAAAAGCAGTCTGGGGGATGTTCTTTTACTTTGTTTTTAATTTTGGAGTAACTGGGAAAAGATGGAGGGAACTGAGTGGGATACTCCAAAATGAGAACTATGTTCAGGTTGAGGACGGTAAACTCCTTTCTGAAAAGCTGAAGCAGAAGTCCTTGCAACAGCAAACTGTGGACTTTGCTTTTTAGTAGAAGCAGTTAAAAGCAGGTTTCTTCCTTTAGAGCAGGGGTCTCCAAACTATGGCCCTTCAGGTGTTGAGGAACTGCAAATCCCATTAGGCCTTGAAAGACTCTGACAGCCACAGGCAAGACTCCCAGAGGCAGAGGCATGATGGGACTTGTAATACTTCAACAGCTGGAAGGCCATAGCTTGGAGACCCCTGCTTTACAGCAATAAGAACAGAGTCTTGTCACATACTGTAGAACCTGATAGACTAAGCTCTTCAGGATACCAGTCAATATCCCCTTTGGTCACACAGCTGACTGTCTAGAGGGGTGGCAGCAGCCCAAAAGTCTTTAAAAGCTCTCACAGCAGTCTGTACTCACAAATATTCAGGGAAAGTTGGTTGTCTGCTTCCAACATCCATGGGACACCTTTCTCCTGTGATACCACACTAGATCTACAGATGACAATCCCTCAGTCAGCTCTCTTTAGCTTCAGCATCCAGACCCCACCTGAGGCCTCACAAATAGCAAGCACATGGCAATGCTGCCCAGAGTGAGGCAAGCCCTCCAGGCTGGACTTCCTCTCTTCAGGCAAAGACCCAGAAGCTCTGTGTCTCAGAGAATGTATACAGACTCCCAGAAGCCTTCAGGGCCACATGAGGATTGGCCAGGTCTATATAAATATTCATACTGCTATTTGCATTTCTCTACACCTATGTTCCAGAGGATTCTACTGTTCTCTAGAAAGCAGAGGAAGCAGACAAACCAGCAGCAGCTGAAACACTGTACAGACCTAATTAATAACATGCAGCCAGTCCTGTATTTAGGTTTCGTACTGCCCTAGGCAACACAAAAATAAGCTCCCCCCCACGGAGAGACCCTGACACCAAACACCACCCTCCCCTACTAAGAGAGCCTGACATTGACCAACAATACCCTAGCCCCCCATCACCTCAACCTGAGAGAGCCTTCCACTATCACCTCCAGCCATACACTGGCAACCCCCCACCCCGGTGAGAGAGAAGACACTCACCTTCACAGCTCTGGACATCCCCGAGAACAAGAGTCAGGCTTTGCATACACCATCAAGCATCCCTCAGCCTCTCTCAGATCCCACCTGGTCCCTATGCTGCAAGTGGCCCTTCTTCCATCCCTTCTTTAGGGGGGTGGCACTACCCCCCTGAAAAATGCCACTGCCCCCCTGAAAAATGCCATCCTAGGCAAATGCCTTGTTTGCCTTGTGGTAAATATGCCCCTGCATGCAGCTA